TTTTACTCACGTGATGTGTTTGATGAGCATAAGTTTTTAATTTTTATGAGGTCCCATTTAGCTATTTTGCCTTTTTCTATTCGTGCATTTGTTGTAATGTTTGTTACCCTATTTTTATAAGAGATTAGGTCCCATAGTTTTCTCCCTCTTTTTTCTTCCAGAAGTTTTATGGTTTTAGGTTTAACATTTAGATTTTTGATTTATTTTGAGTTATTTTTCGTGGATGGTGTGAGATAGGGGTCCTGTTTCAGTTTTCTGCAGGTGGGCATCCGGTTTCGCCTGCACCATTTTTTTCCCCTAGTTCTTTTTTTTTAATTGTGCTTTAGATGAAGGTTTACAGAACAAGTAGTTTGTCATGAAACAGTTAGTACACATATTGTTTTATGACATTTGTTCCCCCCTGTTTCTTTTTTTTTATAGATGGACGACCAATTTTGCCCACACCATTTGTTAAAAAGACTATCTTTTCCCTCATTTAATGGACTTTGTTCCTTTATCAAAGATCAGCTGACCGTAGATAGATGGATTTATGTCTGGATTCTCGATTCTGTTTCATTGGTGTGTATATCTGTAATCATTGTATCAGTACCAGGCTCTTTTGACTACTGTGGCTGTATAGTATGAGGCCTCCTACTTTGTTCTTTTTCTTCAATAATTCTTTGCTTATCTGAGGCCTCTTTCCTTTCCACATAAAGTTGGTGATTAGTTTTTCCAGGTTGTTAAAGAATGTTTTTGGTATTTGGACCGGGATTGCATTATATCTCTAGATCACTTTGGAATTGACATTTTCACAATGTTGAGTCTTCCTATCCATGAGGATGTTATGTTTTCCCATTTTGGTTTCTTGTGATAGTGTTTTGTAGTTTTCTTTGTATAGGCCTTTTATGGTCCTGGTTATATTTATTCCTAAATATTTTATCTTTTTAGGGGCTATTATAAATGGTATTGTTTTCCTGATTTCATTTTCAAAGTTCTGTTTGTTGTTGTATAGGAATCCAGCTGATTTTTGTAAGTGGATCTTGTATAGTGCTATTCTGCTGAATCTTTCTATTAGTGCCAGTAGTTTTCTTTTGGAATCCTTGGGGTTCTCTATGTATAGGATCATATCTTCTGCAAATAGGGATAATTTTACTTCTGCCTTTCCAATTTGGATGCCCTTTATTTCTTTTTCTTGCCTTATTGCTCTAGCTAGGACTTACAGCACAATGTTAAATAGGAGTGCTGATAAAGGGCATGTTTGTCTTGTTCCGTGTACTTAATTTCTTAATTCTCTTCCCTTTCCATTTGGAGTACTCCCTTGAGTAATACTTGGAAAGCTGGTCTGGTAGTGACAAATTCCCAGAGTTTTGTTTGTTTGAGAATGTGTTAATTTCCCCCTCGTTTTCGAATAACAACTTTTTTGGATAAAGAAGTCTCGGTTGGCAATTGTTTTTGTTCAGTATTTTATTAGTTTATATACGTGGCTCCATTGTCTTCTGGCCTCTAGAGTTTCTGGGGAGAAATCTGCATTGATTCTTTTTTTATAATAATTTTTTTTGAGTTTTTGGTGAAAATTTATGCAGCAAGTTCCCATTTGACAATTTCCACATAGTTTATTCAGTGACATTAAGTACATTTGTCACAATCTGTCAACATTCTTTTTTTGAACAGTTTCTACATGTACAATTTAATTACATTGATTACATTCTTTGAATTGTGCAACCATTCTCACTGCTCTTTTCTGAGTTCTTCCTCCCTCATTAACATAAACTCACTGCCTCTTAGGTTCCTAGCTAATCTTTCTAGTTGCTGTTGTCTATTTGATCCCATATAGATAGTTCTTAAAAGAGCATAATGCTCAAGGAAGACAATTTTTTTTACTAGTTAAGCTAAACTGTCGCTTGGTTTTTGAGAAGACTTCAGTGGATTTTCTTGATTTAAGGTTTAAAGATTTTCTCAGGGCAATAGTTTCAGGGGTTCGTCCAGCCTCCATGGCTCCAGGAAGTCTGGAGCCCATGAGAGTGTGAAATTCTGTTATACATTTTCCCCGTTTTCATCAAGATTCTTCTATGGAATCTTTGATCAGAATATTCAGTAATGGTCGCCAGGCACCATCTAGTTCTTCTGGTCTCATGGCAAAGGAGGTAGTTGTTCATGGAGGCATTTAGCCACACATTCAATGTTCTCCTCCTGTTCCTAACTGCCCTTCTTCCTCCGTTGATCCAGGTAAATAAAGACCAATTGTTGTGCCTTGAATGGCCTCTTGCAAGCTTTTAAGATCCCAGGCACTATGCAACGAACTGGGAGGTAGAACAGAAATGTGTTATTAGACCAATTAACTGGGATGTCCCATAAATGCACTGTTTCTTATGAACAACCTTTAGTATGTTGAACTGCATTTTTCTCTTATTGCTTTCAGAATTCTTTCCTTGTCTTTGGTTTCAAGAATTTCATTTGTGTATGGTGCGGAGTTGATCTTCTTGTGTCTCTTCTGATTGGGGTTCATGTAGCTTCCTGTATTTGTAAGCTTGGTTCTCTGCTCAGGTCTGGGAAATTCTCCCTGATTATCTCTTGGAAAATTGTTCCTGTGCGTTTATTGTTGTCATGGTGCTCTGGGATTTCAATAATTCTAATGCTAGCTTTCTTAATTGAATCTCATGTTTCCTCTTGGGTTTGTTTTCTTTTCTTTGTTCTTTTCTCTTGAGACTCGATAAGTTCAGTTATTTTGTCTTCTAGTTCACTTCTTGTATCTTCTGCGTGTTCAACTCTATTGTTGATGGTTTCTCTTGCTTTTTCTAATTCAGATATTTTATTTTTCAGTTCCAGTATCTCTCGCTCTTTTTTTTTTAATGTTAAATCTTTCATTTTTTTCCTCCATTTGTTTCCTGAACTTCACTAGTTTGTTTTCTGTGTGTGTGTGTTTTGTTGGTTTGTTTCTTTAAATATATTTAGCACCATAGTCTGAAAATTATGAATTCTTTGCATTATTCTCGCCTCCGTAGGAAAGATTTCCTCTTCTTCATGTTTGCTTTTGATTGTTCCTTCTTCTCTTGTGATTTTGTGTGTTTTACTATCGTTTGTTGAAGTTGAGCCATTGTATTATTTATTTACTTTAAATTTTTTATGCTGTTTGTTATGGGAAAATTTTCAGCTTGGGTGCCCTTGTGGCACAGTGGCCAAGTGTCTGGCTGCCAACCAACAGGCCGGGGCCTGCACCCACCAGTCGCTCCATGGGAGAAAGATGCAGCAGACCACCTCCACAAAGAGTCAAAGCCCCAGGAATCCCATGAGGGAAGTCCCCTCAGCCCTGCAGGTTTGCCACAAGTTAGACTGATACAGTGGTAGTGAGCTTGGTACCTTCTCCTGATAACCACTAGGTGGCATTCTTATCCTTAGGGTTTTTTCAGTGCTGGTTCAGGAGCTATGGATGCTTGATCTCTGGATTCCAGTATGCATGTGCAGGGGGTGTGGTTAGTTGGTGACGTAAGCAGTGGGGATCCACTTTCCTGTGGTGACGGTGGGAGGTTCTTTTTGTCTTTCGCTCACTGGCATTCTTGCACAGGCACACATGGTATCCTGCTGGGGGCCACCTCTTGTGTGTTGGTGAGTCTGCAGTACTCCCCTTGTCCTGCTGCCCTTGCCGGTCCTCCTGGGTCTAGTGCACCTTTGACTCAGTCCTCTGTGAGACATAACAGCACTCTCACGCAGCACCATGTTGTCCCTTTGCCACTCCCAACTGTATGGCCTGCAAACTCTCATGGCCAGTTGGCACCCCCTTGAAAAATCTGGCTAGATTTTCCTCAGACTAGCTCATTTTCAGTGTTCCCTGCTTGGGGTGTTACCCAGCCCCATTCCAAAATGGCTGTGATGAGCAAGTGCTCCGGATGTTAGCAGGTAGGATCTCTTGGCTTCTGTGCTGACCCCATTCCTCCTTTCCCCCACTTCTGGACTTACCCCAATTCTCCAATTCCTTAGCTGCTGCCAGAAGTTCTGAGATCTCAGCCAGTGTTTGTTTTTATTCATTGTTCAGTGAGTTAGTTGCTTAGAGGAGTAAGTGGAAGTGTCCACTCACTTCGCCATCTTGCTCTGCCCTCCAGACCTATGAAATCTGAAACCCTGGGAATGAGGCTCAGCAATGTGCATTTTAAGGAGACCTCTTGGTGATTCTGATGCATGCTAAAGTTTGAGAACTACTATAGAAAATAATAAGGGACCTTATGTTGTATTTAGTACATGCCAAGGACTACCGATTCTATCTTCTGATTTTATTATACTACTCTGTTGAAACAAATATCTGCGTGGTTTTTTTTGTTGTTGTTGTTTGTTTTTTAATCTTTGGAATGGTAAGGCTTTTAGCAGTAATTTAAATGTTCTATATTTAGAGGATTTTTATTATTAAAAAAAAAACTCTAGTGTCTAGAAATAGAATTATCTGACACTATCTGCATAGCTATAAACAAACATTCCTGCCGAAATTTAAAATATTTTGCAGAGAATGTGTGAGTAGCAAGTTAGGTGAAGCCTATAGCCAAAGTTAGTTTAAAGCATTAAGCTTATATGTATTCACTGTAACATACCAGTTTAGTAGTATTTGATATACTAGTTAATGCTTACTGCTGTAATGTTATATGAAAAGTAGGTAGAGGAGATGGACTGAATGTAACAATGTAACATTTAATAGGGCCCCAAAACTAATTAAAACTGAAGTAGATACAGGAGAGAAGACTGTTCTGGCTTATTACCACATGTGAAAATGTTAGAAGGGGGCTCATAACAGCTCAGTATGAGTTAATTAATGCAATCTGGCTGCCGAAACAGCTGAAATCCTATATTGCATTAACAGAAGGATGGTTCTATAGACTACGAGAAGTGATATTCTTCTTGGAATCCTGTATTTCTTGGCACCACACTTTAAAAGGGATAAAAGACGCATTGGAGCGCGTTCAGAGTAGAATGACCAGAATAACAAACGCGTATCTGGAGTTTTTGAAATTAACGTTATATTTTATATCTTCTTGAAGGTGAAATGAATCAGAAGTACAAGGAACTAAAAAAAAGAGAGGAAAATATGGACAGTAAGTTATAATCTCATGGATGTAAATATGTATATTCTATATATTCTCAGATTACTGTTCATTTATACCAAATCATAGATCTCATTTGGGGCAAATATAATTGCTAACACTAAACACAGAAGTGTGGACTTTCAGGGTTTACTTGTATTGTTAAGGCATAACAGGTGGGGTTTTAAAGTTTGAAAATATGTAGAAATATTCTTATTGAGTAATCTTCCCCTGGGCTAATGAAAAATAGTAGAAGTTTAAAATTTATATTTGCTTTGTATTTTTAAATCGTGCTCTTAAGACCTACAAATCAGAGTTTATATAGTGTTAACTATATCAACAGTAGCCCTTCTTATCATGTTTATTAATCGGCAGCTTTTATTGAGACTTTTGAGGAAACTAAGAATCAGGAACTGGAGCGGAAGGCACAGATAGAAGCCAGCATTGTTGCGCTTTTGGAGCACTGTAGTCGAGTAAGTGCCATGTGCCCATCTTGGTGTCTCATTGTTTTTACTGTGACTGCCTTTCCAAACACAACTCAAAAAGTGGAACCACTCACCATTGTATCTGCTTGTGTTAGCTGTTTCCCTTAAATTTCTCTTGCTCTTTATTTTGTTCCTTTAAGTCATTAATTTTTATCTCTCTGGCAAAATATCAGCTAATTAGAGCAATAGGGGGAAAAGGATGACATCAGTTGTCAGCACTAAGTGAGACACTAATGCAGTGTAAGTGTTAAGTTTTTTCAAGTCATTCCGAGCTTGTAGAAATAACTTTTGCACAGATAATTTTAAAATCTAGACGTTTTGGGACTATTATCATATTTTTACACTGTAATTTGCATTGTAAGTAGAAGAGATTCTTTGTTCACTTAATGAGAATCTTGATTAATCAAAAAATGTTTATTAAACATCTACTGTATGTAATACCATAGGAGGAAAAATACATGATCCCTTTTCAATATTCTTAATATTTCAAGACTCCAGATCAGTTCCTAAAGTAACGTAGTTGAATTTTTTCTACAGTCAAATAAATAAGGCAAATGAAGAAAAAATAATTCTGAGTTTTAACCTCTACTTATTGAGTAAAACCAATGGATGATGTATTTCAGAAAAGAATACCTATTCAAAACACTATGTTTTTTAACAGTATTTTCCAAGGGTTTTGTAGTATTGAATCAGTGGAATTTCTTCCATTTTTTTTCTCTGCAAATACAGAATATAAATCGTATGAAACAGATCTCTTCTATCACCAACCAAGAGCTGAAGATGATGCAGGATGACCTCAGTTTTAAATCTACTGAAATGCAGAAATCACAAAGTACAGCTAGGAATTTGACTTCAGGTGAGAAAACAACCTTGGTTTTAATATCCCTTTTTTTTCTGTAGCAAATAGTAATTTTTAATATTTATTGATGTTATTTTCTTTGATTTTTTGAAAGCCTCACTTCACTGGAAATAATGATTGCCTGTTGCCTTAATCATTTGTAACCTCAGAATTTTGTATGATCTTTTTACATCGTCTTATTAGTATTATATTGTGATAGTCTCATTTATTTAGTAACATTTATTGAATACTTATAGAGCCCTGTGGTTAAAGTGCTCAGCAGCTAACCAAAAGATTGGCAGTTCTAACCCACGAGCTGCTCCACGGGGGAAGGATGTGGCATTCTGCTTCCATAAAGATTACAGCCTTGGAAACTCTATGGGGCTGTTCTAACTCTGTCCTATAGGGTTGCTGTGGGTTGGAAGAGACTCAACGGCAAGGGGTTTGAATTAGCTTTGGTATTGAATACTTGCTTCATGCCTGTGCTGTAACGTGGGTATACCAAAAAAACCAAACGAGTTTCCATTGAGTCATATTCTGACTCGTGGCAACCCCATGTGTGTCAGAGTAGAACTGTGCTCTACAGAGTTTTTAAGGCTGTGACCTTTCAGAAGTAAATCTCCAGGCCTTTCTTCCAGGGCACCTCTGGGTGGGTTCTAACTGTCAACCTTTCAGTTGTTAGTTGAGCACTTAACCATTTGCACCACCCAGAGACTCCAACCGGTGTATACAGAGGTAAAAATAAAAAATCCAGTCTGTTTTTTTCAAGGAAATTTTCAGCCTAGTGAACTGACAGACAAATACACAATTATAATACAATAAAATAATGCTATGATAGAAGTAAGCATAAGGAGTGATGGCAGTATATAGGATGCATGTCGAGTCCACCCAGTCTTAGGTAGTCAGCAGAGGCATCCTAAAGGAGGTAATGTTTTAATATTAATTAGTTTCAGTCATAATGACTAGCATGAGTCTAGAGCAGTTCTGTGCAATATAATGCCAGCCACTTACCATATTTTTATGCAGATAACACGTGCTTTCTACGTTTGTTTGCCAACCGTGCCCTCCCCCTTTGAGGTATTTTCATAAGTACTGCTGTGCCAATTTTTTTTACATATTTGTAAAAAAAATTAGCATAGCACACTATAAAAATACCTCACGGGTGCAGGGCATGGTTGGCAAACGTAGAAGGCACACATTATTTGTGTAAAAATACAGTATATAATTTAATATTTTCTAGTGGCCACATTAAGAAGGTAAAAATAAACAGGTGAGATTAATTTTAATAATGTGTTTTATTTAACCCAGTCTTTCCAAAATATTATCATTTCAACATGTAATCAATATAAAAATGATTAGTGAGATATTTTATACTTGCCGCAGTTCTCAATTTGGGTTAGACACATTACAAGTACTCAAAAAACATATGTGGCTAGTGGCTGCCGTTTGGACGGTACAGGTAGAGATTAGAAATAAATATACAAGATTTAGCTTAAAGAGCCTATGACAAAAATCATGTAAGAATTTATATGGGATCTTTGGTTTTTGTACGAGTGAATTGTGCTCTGTATTGTGAGAATGCAGATGTGTGGTGGCTTTGAATTAGCTATCTTTTTGTCTACTTGGAATTACTCTCTGGAAGTTAATGAGATCATGGGAAATTAATTAATATTTATTAATATAAACATTAATACTTCCTAACAAAAAAATGGTGAAAGAATCTTGAGATGGAATAATGATCCACAATACTTTATCTGGAATTCTGAAATCCAAAAAGGTCTTGATAGCTAAACCTAACCTGACCTTATCTGACATGAGGCTATTTATAACCGTAAATTATTCCACCCAATCTGATCATTGATACTTTTTGCTGCAAAAATATTCATGCACTTGATTACAGGGTTCTGCCTCATACCTTGCTAAGGGGAGGTATGTAGTAATCAGTATATACATTATATTACTTTTCTAAGACCTGAGGAATTCTGAATCCTAAAACACAAGTGCATAGGAGTTTCACATAAGGGATTATGGTCTTATAAATCCATACGGAATGCTATTAATTTACTACTGAATTTAGATTAATGGTATACATGGACAATTGCTATTATTCTATACATTGAAGAATATTATCTCTCCGATTTTTAATGAATTTGTTTGCTGTGGTTTTATTTGTGTATCTGAATTATATGCCAGACAAGAGGAGGGGGCACATTCTAACCTGGTTTATACCTACTATTGGCTTATCATGAGTATTTTTAAATTTTTTATTTTCTTTTTTCTTATATGCAAAAGAATTTTATGTTTAATTATTCCATTAGAAAACATCTGTTTTGTGTTTTAGACTATAGTGTGCTTAAGTTTTTTATTTATGTATCAACATTAATTCAACAAGTTTTTACCCCCAAAGCTAACTTTGTATTATGACTGTCAAGAAATGTACATTCTTAAAAGGTCAAAATTAATACCAGGAAACAAATTTAATAATCAGGACTTTGTATTCCTTCCATACTTTAATGCTTTGTGTTTATATTTCCTTCTAAAATCTAGCCATTGTATTTTCTCCAGAGATGTTCAGTTGAAAAAGAGTGAGAGCTTGCTGGCTTCCATGGAGATAAAAATTCAGGTTATTACTTGACAAAGATTTTGCTAGAAATTTTGCTTACTAAGGGTTGAAGGCTCTGCTCCCTTCAATTAATTTCAGTTATGAGTTATTTTTAAGTGTTTATGTAAACTAAGTAAGTAAATTACTCTCTCTCAAACGCTGTCCCAGAACCCCAGCAAATTTTTTTTCTTTTGTATCTGGGAATCACCGTGAGCGATTTATGATATTCTTGTTTTTCTTTCAGAAATAATGGATTTTTACATTCCCCTTTTGTGAATTATTTCCCAAACCTAGAATTAGAATCTTTTTTTGTAAATTCTACCCTTAGGTTAAAATTGGGACTCATGCTTCTTGGGGGGAAGGTGAAAAAGAATCATAGGTAATTATCATGATTTGTGATACATACAGATGTACAGTATGTGATACAAATATTTCATGTGAGTAGGATGTGATTAGGGAAAAAAAGGATAAAAAAGACTCCCTAGGGGAACAATAATGAAAGAAAAGGTTGAGAAACACTGGTGTACTGCATGAGTAAAGAGTCAAGGAATCTGTCAGCAGTAGTTTTTATTTATATTTTTGGAAAGGAAACTCCAGGGAGTAAACAAATGTGCTGATGGCAGAATATTTCAGACACATTTCCCCAGGTCAAAGTGGTTCCTTCTGAGATTTTGCTACTATGTACACACTGCTTGGTAAACTTTGCAACTTCATAGCATATCAGAAGGAACTAGACTGCATCCTCTTCCTGTCTCTTCCCTTAGAGAGGCTTTTAGCTTTTCAGAGAGACCTGTTGTTAAAGGATGATAAACTTTACCCTATACCAACCATTTTCTCCTAGAAAAAGCAATTTCTAGAAAAAATCAATTTCTATATTTTCCTAATATTAATATATCTTCAAATTAAACTTGCAGTTAGATTTATATAGCTATTTCTTAAAATATCTATAAGTTAAGTACATTTCCTATTTAGAGCATAAGGCTGTGACTTGTTCAGTGCATTGATTCTCCTCCTAACTATTCTCAACCCTACAGAGATATGAATTCAACAACAAAAAACCCCTTCTCAACAGCATTTAAGTCCTGCCATGTATTTGTTATATGTGGTTGGAGAATTAGAGGAGAAGTCCTGGAAAGGAGGGAGGCTAAGTGTTCAAAGCTGTATATAAACTCCACCCAAATCCTTGTCTGATGGCTGAACTACACATGCATCAGGTAGACACCAGGGAAAAAAGCAGCAGCTGGAAGCTGAAAGAACTGAGTAAAGACCTCGGTGGAGACAGAGTTAGGAGTTTGAATCCAGTGAAGTTTACTGCTCATAATAAAAATCCACACTCTTGAAAGGCACACGGTAGAACCCGGAGTCTCTACAACATATCATTTACAATGTTCGGTTTAGTATAAAAAATTTCTAACATGAAGAAACAGGAAAATGTGACTTAAGGGGAAAAGCAGTCACTCTACACTGAACCTGAGATAATCCAGATATTGAGATGAAAAAAATGAGCCAGAAATAACCCAGATAGTGAAACAAAAAAAAAAAAAAAAAGAATTTAAAACTTTATAAACATGTTCAAGGGCTTAAAGAAAAATAAAGTCATAATAAATGAACAGATGGGGAATCTCACAGAGAAATAGAAAGTACAAAGAGAACAAAATGAAAATTTCCAGAATTGAAAAATACAACTAAAAAGAAAAACTAATAATCTTAATAGAAGATTAGAGACAGTAGGAAAAAGAGTGATTGAAGGTGAAGCTAGATCAATAGAAATTATCCAATCTGAAGAGTAAATAAAAATAGAACCGAAATGACCTGTAAAACAAAATCAGGCTGTCTAACATGCATGTAATTGGAATCCCAGGAAAGGAGAGGAAAAATAAGGGAAAAAATATAATTGAAGAAATAATGGCTGAAAATTTCCCAAATTTGATGAAAAACTTAAGTTTACAGATCCAAGAAACTCAATGAATCCTAGGCAGGATTAATATAAAGAAAATCATACCTAAACACATTGTAGTCAGGGAAAAGGCATGTATTTAGAGAATGCTCCTAACCCCTACCATATACTCTATGGCTCCCTTTACTACTCTTCATAGCAGTTATCCAGTGTATTTTAAGTGCTTGTTTAATTGCCTGGTTCCACCTCTAGAGTATAGCTCCTTGAGTGAAAACATGGTGTTAATTTCCATGATATAGCCACACCTAGCACATAACAGAGACTCAATGCTTTCAAAAGGAATAATGAGACACACACAAGATACGTATATGTAACTATAAAATTGTGCAATATATATTTGTGGTCCTGGTGGCACAGAGGCTAAGTGTTTGGCTGCTAACCAAAAGGTCGGCAGTTCGAATCCACCAGCAGCTCCTTGGAAACCCTTTGGGGCAGTTCTACTCTATCCTGTAGGGTCACTATGAGTCGGAATCAACTCGATGGCAACAGGTTTGTTTTGTTGTTTTGTTTTGATCTCATAATATATACTGTTAGGTAAGAAAAAATACCGGTGTATGTTCTTGTATGTTTGTATGATCATGGAGTCGGGTGTGGCAAATATATATCAGGTAACACTGATTAACAGAGAAAGAGCATTTTTTTTTTCTTAATTTGTCTTCATATTGTCTCACTGGTTGCCGTGAACATGTTACTTTTGTAGATATTCTCCCAAAACATGATTCTTAATGCTTGCATTACATTTCCTTATGTGAAAGGAATAAAGTTTTGGTTAATTATGACGTTGAATTCGTACATTTCAGATAGTCAGCGTCTACAGTTGGATCTACAGAAAATGGAGCTTCTGGAAAGTAAGATGACTGAGGAGCAACATTCTCTAAAAAGTAAAATTAAGCAAATGACAACTGATCTGGAGACATATAATGATTTGCCAGCTTTGAAATCGTCAGGTGAAGAAAAGAAAAAGGTAAATGCTAACAGAATCTTATAAGATTATAATTCATATTGTTTCTTTTTGATCAAATTTAACACATATGTAGTCTATGGGATTTATTATTTTTAGTTGCTTATTTGACATATAAGCTAAGAAAAATTAATAAACTGTTTACATACAAGGAATTTAAAATGACTTAAAATCTTAAACAGAAGACAAAAATTGAAAATTAAGAGATAAGCTACTACTTAAAAACCAGTCACTGTTTAGTTGACTCCAACTCATGATGATCCCATGTGTGTCAGAGTAGAAGTATGCTCCATACAGTTTTCCATGGATGATTTTTCAGAAGTAGATCACCAGGCCTTTCTTCCGAGGAGCCTCTGGGTAGACTTGAACTTTCAACCTTTTTATCAGCAGCTGAGAGCATTAGCCATTTCCACCACCTAGGAACTCCAAGCTGCTGCTTAATATAGAGCATTTCTTCAAATATGATATTTTGAAAATATAGATTTGATTATGACACTTCCATACTTAAAACTTGTCTGTGGCCTTCCATTGCTATTTACATTTATAATTTAAAGTAAATTTATTGGGGTAGGGATAGATAATAGCATTGAGTTAATCTTTATATATAGTTAATATTAACATAGCTTTTTCTAGTTCAAAGGATATTTTTACAAACATGTTTTAGAGTACTTACAGCCTTGGTAGAATTTATCAGAATACAGTCATTGAAATTATTTGTCAAGTACGGTTTGTGTTGGCTTACCAGATATTTACTATAGGCTATTATTTACTTTTCTTTGGGTCTATATAGAAACTACATCAGGAGAGAACAGTATTATCAACCCATAGAAATGCCTTTAGGAAAATAATGGAGAAGTTAAACAAAGACTATGAGACACTAAAAACACAATTGCAAGAAAATGAGACACATTCTCAGGTAAGAAGAAAGAAAAATAACTTCTGGAATTCATTTCTCCTTTTAGACTATCTGTCCGATTCTCTTTATCCATATTTTCACCCCAAGACAATCCTTATTTTAATTTTTGTATGTACTTTATATACCTTCCAGATTCTCCCTTCTGGCCTTGAAGACTGCCAGATTCTCTACAGTCACCACTCAGAATGAATTAACTACTGCTTTCCTCCTTCTGCAAGCCTATATCGAAAGCCTACTATATGCTAGGCACTGTTCTGGGCACAACCATTATAATATTCTGGGTACTAGCTTTAAAAAATTTTAAAAGTAAAGCATTTCTAGTGGAGAAACTTTGTGAAACCCATAAAAATCACAAAATAAATGCTAATGACTTATATCCCACAACCCAAAAGAAATAACTGTTACTGTCATTTTGCTGTGGGTCCTTCTAGTCTATGTGTATGTTATGTTTACATTCACATTGATATATACACATAAATACATGCATATTTATTTTTATATTTACTGAAACAGTATTATATAGTATATATTATTTGAAGCTTGCTTCTAATGATTTAACTATATATCTGAAGTACTACTTCCCTTGTCAACAGATGTTTTTTCTAAAATATGATTGCTAATAGCTGTATAATATTCTGCTTCCCTATTGTAGGACTTTTAGGTTATTTGCAGTTTTAAAACTGCCCAAATAATGCTATAAAGAACAGTCATATTCTTGAACATCTTGATTCACATCTCTGATTATTTACATAGGATGCACACACATACGCCTGCAATCTCCTTTCCATATCACTCATCCCACTGGTAATTCCTGAACAAGGTCTCAGGTTATTCTATATTATGAACGCTATGAGACATGTCTGTCTTGTTCACTTTCTCCTCAACACCGTGCAAGTGGTTGACACTCTTTGTATAGTAATATGATCATGGTAGAAAACAATAATGTTACTTGATTTCCCACTACCTAGAAATAACCAGTGTTAACATTTTGGTGTAATATCCTTGTGGACTTTTCTCTTTGTAATTATACATATATATGAATAATAGTATTTTTACAAAAAATTGAAATCATACATACAGCCTTTAAACATTTATTTTCTGAAATATTTTCAGGCTCTTTGCTTTTTTGATGACATTTTTACGACAGCAGCTGTTCCATTATGTGGATGTACCATTTTAAAAAAAGATATGCCTTATAGTCTTCTGAAAGGAGTAGAGTCTCATAAAAGTTTTGCCACACTGCTAAAAGCTTATAAATCACTAAATTACATAATTCAAATTACCGGTCAGTTATTCCATCTCTACTTCATAATATACAAACCTAGATACAGAGCTGTAAGTGGCAAGATAATCCTGGACTCTTTAGAGTGGGGATGGGTGCTGGAGAAGAAAGGTAAGAAAAAGTTCGTGAGGTCATTGCCTTAAATAGTTCTTAGAAAGAAATATTGATATTTCTTATGCAATATTGGCCCTCCTCTTCCCCTGAATAGATGACTTAAGAAGGAAAACACTTGACAAACACTGTTTTTACAGTCAGTGGCTACTTGTTTATTCCCACATTAGGTGCTAATCGTATTTCTAACTCTACTGATAACAACAAATCATAACATAAGCCACAATTTAAAATCCTTTTCTATAATATTTGATCAACTGAAAGCTATTTTCTTGTAAACTGGTTTTTGGCATCTGTTAATAATTTTAGTTAACAAATTCTTTAAATAAGGTATGTTTTTGTTGTTGGGTGCTGTCAAGTCAATTCTGACTCATAGTGACCACATGTGACACAGTAGAACTGCCCCATAGGGTTTTCTTGGCTGTAATTTGTACAGAAGCAGATTACCAGATCTTTCTCCCTCAGAGCCAGCTGCTGGGTGAGATTGAACCTTTCGACTGTAGCATTATTCATGTAGCACTTAAGAGGTCTGTTGCGTTTATAGCTACCTCTTTGTGTGAAACAAAGAGAAAAAAGTCTGGTACTTGACTTTCCAAAAGATTACTAGAGATTTACTGTCAAAAAGTGCTGACTGCTTCCTTGACTCTCCCCTAATTTAAGGTCCTATCTGGGGAAGCTAAATCTGATTTAGCAGTGCTAACTCAGAACAGATACAGTTCACATAATTAATTACAATTCACCCTAATATCTAGATTTATTCTCTTTGGAGGAAACAATGGGATGGATGCTACAGCAAAACTGAACTTATGCCCTGAAAATAAGTTTATCATAAGGGTAGTAAGAAACATTTTAATGCTTCTTCAATTACCAGATTTTTAAAAATGATCATTACTTCTTTGAAAAGCCCAGGATGAAATTTACCTTAGTGTTTCATTTTTCAGACAGTCCTTTGCCTAGGGAAAAAACTATGTGTATCTTAAAAAAGAAACACCATAACCCAGAGTTACAAGGTTAATTAAATCAGAAAAACAATTTAATTCTATAACAGTAAAATTGTCTTCTAAGGAAGCAACCATCAATATAATATCCACATTAGCTTCCTGTTGATGCAGAAATTATTGTAACCATGCCAACTTTTTACCAGCCCTTGTATAATCTTCACACTGCAGCTCTGTTCTTATCACAGCTTGTGGAATTAGACAGGAAATTTAGCCCTGGAAATAAGGAAGTTTCTCCTATATAGCTGAACCTTTGACAATGTTAGAATATATATTACATTTGTGACATTAGACGTCCAGATTTCAAGGAGAGATTCCCATCATGTCCCGTTCTTCTTTTCAAGTTCTTTTAGGAAGAGAAAAATCTTAGATTGTTTTCAGTTGGCATGTTCATTGATATAATATTTTCTAGTTAAAATAAATACATTGAATAAAACCAATTATAGAATTTAACATTGTATTTATCAATGTATTTACTGTTGCTTAATTTTTCCCAAATTTCTTTTTTGTCTACCATGGATTTATGTCAGTAAAATGCAAGGATATGATAAGATTTAAAGCTGAATTTTTTTTCTTATCCTGTTAAAAGGATGCATAATTGTTTGGATCTTGGGTACTAGTTAACATTTTTCTTTTGTGTTTTTAGCTTACAAATTTGGAGAGGAAGTGGCAACACCATGAGCAAAATAACTTTGTGATGAAAGAATGTATCCTTTAAAAAGCTGAAAATGAACTTGACTGAGTGATTTTTTTTCTAGCAGTTTCTTTAAAGACTTTTAAATTTTTTTAAACTCAATTCAATAGATGCTTATCAAATGCCTAATATGTATAAAACATTGAGCTAAACCATGTGGGCAATTAATGAAAAGGACTTAGTTTTTACTCTATAAGAGTTAAGACATATAGATATAAATATAGATATACATATATATACACCAAAGTACCTAATAGAAAGCACACTTTGGGAAATACCAAAAAGGGGTACAAAATCGTAATGTGGCATGACGATAAAGTACACAGATTTTAGAGTTAGGTCTGATCTAGTTTTAAATGTTGACTCTACCACTTGCTTACAAACTATGGGCTTTGAGAAGTTTATTTAATCAGCCTCAATTTTATAATCACTAAAGTGCAGTTAATATTCGTTTCTCATAGAATTGTTGGGAGAATTATATATAAAAATAGATAGAGTTATAGCTACATATATAACTATTTAAAAAAAAAAAAAAACCATTGCCATCAAGTTGATTCTGACTCAAAACAGCCCTATGTGACGGAATAGAACTGCTCCATAGGGTTTCCAAGTAGCAGCTGGTGGATTTGAACTGCCAATCTTTTGGTTAGCAGCGAATTTCTTAACCACTGAGCCACCAGGGCTCCATATATAACTATATCTATATCTATATAATTATATATATGTTATTGTTTGTAATGCTGTAGCTTGGATATCTGGGCCACAAAGGAAGATTAACATGGTAGGGTCATGAAAACTTTGATTTTCAAGCTCATCCCTTTCAATTGAGTGTCATCTTGTTTTCACGAAGATGGTACTATATACCATCTCCTTACTTATCTTAGGAGTCAGTAGTTGCTGAGGAAGTGTATTGTGAAGTTGTAAGAAATACTTCTCCAAAAGTTATTTCCTATTCCCTTCTTTGACCCATTTAAGGACATCTCTGCTTGGAGAACTAGATCTTGATTCAGTGGTAGCATAAGTTCTCCTTTAGGATGCTGCTGACCTACAGCTCGGGCAGCATGGACCCCAGCTTAGCTCCAGATAAGAAACTTTAGGTGCTCTATTTCCATTAGAAATGTAGCTTAGTTTAAAAACAGAAGACTTGCAATCACAATATGCTGAAGTCCAGGTTTTACGCAACATCAAGAAAGTGATTTTGAATCAGAGCAAAGTCTAGAAACTTGCCTGAAATTCTATATTGTACTCTAAAGAGCTTGATTCTTCTGAATATTAGTGTTCTAAAAATAGAATTGGACTTAGATACATAACATTAACTATAAAAAAGCCTTTATACTGTAGGTAAACTTTTTTGAAACAAATTTTGCTTGGCCTTTCAGATTTTAATTGACGCGTAACCTGTTAAAATGACATAGTAGGTTTTTAAAAAATACTCTGATTATACTTCTTCTATACCATCTTAAGTTTTCATTAAAAAAAAATACTGGTATGATTTGATTCCTTTCTGATCCATAATTAGGTTAATATTTTCACTGACAGTGTTTCCCCTTAACTTGTAATTAGTCATAGCAACCAAGAGTCAGGAGAGTGATTACCGACCAATTATAAAGAATGTGAGCAAGCAGATTGCAGAATACAACAAAACCATCGTGGATGCTCTACACAACACTAGTAGAAACTGAGTCTAAACTAACTGCAAGTCCCTTTACAAGGATCCTCTTGCTGCTAAACTTCGTACAAGCTGACTGAAAAATGAAAACTTCTCTTTGAAAAATTTTACTTAAAATTTCTGAATGCTATTATTGTGGCCTCTTTGATGAGTGATATTTTAAATAACATAATAGTTCAATAAATCATTTCTTATAAAAAGTAACATCTTTTTATGATATTTTTATTTGTTTTGTAGTGTTGATAAAAATGTCTTGAAGAACTAGGAGATAAAGAAAGTAAAAGTGACCACTGAGAGTTCATTTAGCTGGTATAACCCATCTATGGCAGCAAATGAATCATCTTTTCAGGCATCAGCTCTAGGAGGGATGCCTGGAATGTGATTCTAATTTAGTGCTTATATCCACCTTATCAATTTTTGCTTCTAGAAAAAGATAGTAAGAATACAAGGGAGACATTTAGCTTTGACCCTTATTTCCCAGAGTATGTTTGATGTATTTTAGAGCATATAAAGCCACAGGTAAATATATAACATATTCTTTACATATCAGCTATCCCTAAAGATTTGCAAATAGAAGCTTTCAATCTTTGTGTTATTAAAAGATTTTGTCACATGTCTATGCCAGGAAAAACATAAGGTTTAAAAGAAATGCTTTGCATGTAGTGGGCTGTTTTGGGCTATGGCTACTGTTGTTTACATTCCCAATGTGGAGTACACATTCACACTCCTATACTGTTAGGAAGACTTGAATAGATTAATTTATAAGCATTAGCCAGAACATTGGAAAGGAGAAATTAGAAGAAGTAGAATTGTATAGTATTTATCCAAGATTGTTCAGGCGAGGGAGGTGGAGAATCTGAGAGACATTATAGTAACTAAAGATGTATTTATCCTGTCTTGTGGGACAGGGATGAGTCACTTCGGCCAACATTTATTTAGCATAAAATATTCCTTAAAACTATCCTCCTTTTGCTCTGATCTCATATTTACAAAGTATCTCTAGTCTATATTCCTGAGACAAAGCAGATTGATTTCTTAGAAAACAACAACAAAAAAGCTTTATTGAGATATGGTTTACATCTATAAAATTTACCTGTGCATGTTGCTTTCTTGAAGTATTTCCCACTGTAAATTATTCACTTTTAGTCTGTGTGAGTTTATATAGAGGGGTGAGCGTTGTTGACCTTAGTTAACTATTACTGATATGACTGAAGGTCCTGTACAGTGATGCATCCTTTAAGGCAACATTTCCTAAAACATGTTCCTCATAACCTGAGTTCCTCAAGTTATTAGTAGGTGTTACACTACCACAGGATCCATAGTCAAAGAAATTTCAGAAACACTTCTTGAAACAAAAGTAAATTGTTTTCTTTCTTCTTGACTGCTCAGAGCGCTTAATATGCTAATGTCCAAAGTTATTAAAAGACTAATCTACTTCACATCTCATTCTCTTTTCCACACACTGCTCCCTGTCACAGAAGTTGTGCGCCACCGCAAAGCATTTACCAAACATATTTGTCCTCAGAACCTTTATTTTCACAGAGTACAGGTCACATGAGATGTGTGTTCTAAGAAATAGACTTTATATACCAAATGTACTTTATACGCTAATAGAATGTCATCCTCTTAAGTCTTTTGGATGGCTATTTGGCCTTCTCCAGGTGACTCCTGAGTATGTCCCTTTCTAGCCACCATAGATTTCTTTTACCATGGTTGTATAGAATTTTCCTTTGGAAATTCAGAGCAGAAAACATTTATTAAATTTAAAGGCCAAAAAAGCAGTATTTTTTATCTTTATGCTTCTGGAGGTTAAAGAGAATGAAATCTTAAATTCAGTAGAAATAACAAGTATTGGATTTTGATGACAGTTTGTCTAGCCTTTCATTCATTCATAAAGTATTACTATAATTTGGTGATTAGAAGACTTTTTCTATATATGTCTGACTCTGGGAAGTGTTTCTCTTCTATACAGTAATAACCACAGGTATGAGTGCATGTATGGCTTAGGCTAAAGGGCTGACTCTTAAGTCTTTTTATCACACTGATTCTGCTTCTTAGATATTTCCAAGGAGGAAAAGAATCTGGGAAACATATATGTGGACAGGTAATCTTTGTTTCCCCATTTTCAAAGAGGATTCAAATGCCTCTATATTTTACTAACTTTTATAATTTTTACTATTAATAATAAGGGTTTTCTCTGAGCAGTGAGATTGTGGGTGATTTTAATTTTCATTGTGTTTTTTGGTATTTTCAAAATTGTCTATATGTTGTACATATACTTAGAAATTCAAATAAAGTCCTGTACATAGTACTTTAACTTGTGGAAAGAATATGTGCAGTCTTTGGCGCTAACTAGGACTGAACCAGTCTTTAACTAGAAAGATAGGAGGAATTAGATTAGCCAAGCCATTAAATATATGTGTTTGCATTATAACAATGGGAAGTTTGGCAGAAAAAAAAAGCACTGAAAATCTCTCGAAAAAAGCAAAGTTTCCAATTTCCATTCTAAATTGCTTATTATATGTGGTATTTGGGGAACATAATTGAGTAGGATTTCTTTAAACTAAAATGTGTTATCTGAGGGAAATTCTTATTAATGTCTGTTCCTTCCTCTCAGAGCCTTCCAACAAACCCAACAAGAATATTCTCTGCTGGGATAGAGCTGGTGGCTAATATCTACACAAACCGGCCCTTCCTCAGTCAGTACATTGCTCAGTAAGTTCTATTCGCGTTAAAATAACACCTTGCAAGTCAGGTGGAAAGAAGCTGCAGACTGAACAAACATGCTGCATAGTGTTACTAATGAAGATCAACATGGGAAAGTTAGCAAGTCTTTGTTTTTCCTATCCTTATCCTTTATCAATAAGTAAACATGACTCCTTGATACTCTTTGACTAACTGGGGAGTCCTTCCTGTGGCCAGTAGTCTGGTCTCGTGTTAAAGTGCAGAATTCAGTGCCAGGGTTAGAGCATGGAGTAGTGCCATTCACACTGGAGATGAAAGGCTAGTCAGTAATAACTCCAGGGTTCTTGCTGTCCCCTGGGCCAAGTTTTCTGTAGCTCTTTCCTTTTGCTATACAATTCCAGCATAAACAATCTTAGCAAATTTTACTGTTTAGATTTAAAGTAAGAAAAATCAAGAATGTACCACTAGAGAACTGTAGTAATCTATTGTATTTTTTATTTCGTGTACCTTTTTAAATAAAGTAGGTTATATCTTAAAACTACAGATCCACAGTTGGAGAACTGAAATTGAACATCTTTAAAAAGACATTTTTAATACAAAGGTAGAAAATTTAGAAAAGACAGATAAACAGAATGAAGAAAAAAATTACCTTCAATCTCACTGGTATCTTTTGATATACATCTGTACATCCATCATATGTATCTATAGTATTTATATATTTATGTATATTTAATAAAATTAAAAAAACATTTTAAACTTTTGCTGTTTATAATTTTGAAAACACTATTATATCTCATTATGTATTCTTGTACAACAGGATGTTTACTTCTGAATATTATTCCATTATAGAATACTTTTTAAAGACAAGTCCCATATTGTTGAATGAGGTTTGTAGTACAGAGGGTTAAATGCAAGCTTTGGATCAGATAGCTATGCATTTGAATCCCAGCTCTACCATTAACTTGTTATATGACCTTGTGAAGTTACTGAGTCTAAATTTCAATGTCTTCATCTGTAAGATGGAATAATAATGATTACCTCAAGGGATTGAGTCAAGGCAGAATCCAAGACTTTTGACTCGGATTGCTCTCAGAAATGTGGCATGATGAGCAGTGTGCGAAAATGCTCTTTTTCTAGACTCACAACAGCAGTAGTGTAGTCCAGGTAGACAATGCACTACCTCATTGGTTTTGATTTTTTTTTTTTAAATAAACAAAACTGCCTCTTTTACTATACCATTAGAAACTTTACTGTGTTCTAAATGAGAATCTGCAGGATGTGTTTCATTCAAAGATAAAACCAAAATCTGATTTTTAAAACTGTATTTTAAAAATGTTTATCCATTATAGCTTTGTAATGAAAAAAGAAAACTTAATGCTTAAGGCTAATTTGTTAAGGGTATTAGATTATGCTTTTTTGCCCCAGTATCTTCTCTTATAATTGTAATGTATTGTAATGAACTGCTGCTTTGAAAACCCGACTGTAAAAACCTTAAGAGGGGATAGGAATAACCTGCATAGGAGTAACCTATTCAGTAACCAAGGCTATTATGCTTGGCCATTTTCTCTGTCCTCCTACAGATTAGAATGATTACACATAAAGAAGCAGCTGTGTCACGTAAAGAAAAACAGCTCTCATCAGAGAGTCCAAACAAGAGCATTTGGAGGAACATGAGTCAGAAGAATTCACATGGTCTACTATCTAAAAGGAGGTTTAGACACACTCGATAAGCCTTTCACAAGAGAAACAGAAAAACTAAAAAAATTCATAATTTCTGTTTTATTACAAAATCCTGTTGTAAAACAGTATTCTTACCGTGATAAAAGCATGTTAATACCCCAGAAGAAAGGCAGACTTAATCAGTTAAAATTATATTTGGCATAGACTCAAGAAAGAACTATCACTAAGTTAGCTATTTAAGATTAGAAGACAATAGCTGAGCTAACTAACCAAACCGAAATATTATTTCATTTTCTGTGTTATCATTTTCAACAGATAAACTCACTCTTGTTAGAAGAAGTCCAGACTGATGTGGAGGTGAAAATATTTGTTATAGCTTACAAGCTCAGCCTGGATCTTGTTTATCAAAGGAAAATATAGTTCAGTCTAAAAAAAAAAAAAGCCTCTCTCAATGTTTAATTGGCTTCTTGTTAAAATGAACTGTCCCTTAGTTTACTTGGAAGCGAGGGGGCTGCCTTAGAGGGTGACCAGCCCACCCCTATCCCCCACTGCCAAGGACAAAGCAGGGACCTTGTGTCTCAGAATTAGGGGAAATGGTTAAGAAGAAGAGGAAAAGAAAATTGCTTTTCCAGCTTCTCTAACTTCCCATGCAGCCTACAGAGAAAAGCAAGCATCCCTTGGGAGGAAATAACAAAAGTGCCAAACAGTAGATGGATGGATGAAGCCTGCATCCCTGCAGTGTATTGCAGCTCTAACCTTTATAATGCTACACAAGTGCCTGTCCCTTGCTTATGGTGGTTATCAGAAGGCCAGATGGACATTTAC